ACCCCAGAACATCACAAACAAACTTTTAACATAGAGCTGCAGGTCTTTCTGACACTAAGTTCTCCTATGCTCTAACAAACTTTTTTCTTAGGCTCTAAGTTTTCCTATGAGGAGCATCTTAGCCCATCTTAGCCTTGACTCTTGGCCAAAGCAGACAGTTATGAAGCAGCCCGCGATAAGCACCAAAGATCATTGCGTTGCGCTGCTCAAAATGGGCTTCGCCGAAGAAGAGCTGAAACCATGCTGTCGAATTTTTTCGATCTCACGCGATCACTTTTTCCGAAACATGGTCACACATGTCCTGCCCTACTAAAGTGTCCTCTCCTTTGTCAAGACGGCCACACAAACTCAGGAGTCTGATGCAATCGTTTCGCGCCGACGTCAGAAAAATTCCACTTTGCGGCGACCGAATTCACTCGCGTCACCCCTTGCTTGGCGTGGGTCAAGAGGTGTCCGACTCTTCCAACACCTTGGCGCCGCAGGATATATGCGCTCCATTTACGCTCTCCAAACCCACACCAAACCATGGCGCGTTTTCAAAGGCAATGCATCACAACTAACTGGCCGAAACTGCACTGTAGAAGCTGGCTGAAGAAAGTGCGACTATTTTCAGATGAACTCAGAAGGCCACCATGAAAGAACAAACCACATGCACTCACCGATCTTCTTGATGTTTTATGACTTGCCCAGGAACTATCTGCGAAAGTCTCAAAAGCAGCTCACCATGCTCCTGAATTGCTTGCTCGGCGCAACCGCAGAGATGAAACCTCTGTCAGCCGCGACACGCGCTGCGCAAGTACTCAAATCATGCGCTAGCATTCTACAAAACCTATCGATATATATATATATGTACGTAAATATATATATATATATATATCTATATACATATGCCACCCCTACAGCAGAGATACAGGTCTTTGCATTATGGGAGTTCAATGTTTTCGTCTCATCAATCTCCTCTAACCTTGGGTGACCCGGGACTTTCTTTGGCTTCAAGTGTCGACTGACCTTCAACCTCATTTGACGCTGACTTGGTTGCGCAAGTAGAGTGTGTTCCGTGGGATTTGGGTTATGCTTCGCTTGTTTCTCAGTGCTCTGCAGAGAGAGGATTGCACCACCTGCTGCGTTGCCTCTTGCTCTTGTGTTCGACGCTCTGCGCAATGTTCTACCTACGCCTGATGATTTGCCTTCCAGCGTTGACGTGGATACAGAGGCTGTTCGACATGTTCCTCCAACACCTGATGAACATGTGTTGGAATCAGAGCCAGTGGTTGGAGCATGAGGTGAAGTTGGGCTTCGCCCTGGCACCTGCGATACCGCCGGTTCATTCTAGTAGCGGTGGTTTTCCCATGTCAGTTGATGCGGGGCAAGATGTGAGTGCCCCGATGCTTTCGAGCCAAGCGTCGTCTTCCATTCACCCAGACGTAGAATACCTGACGAATAAGAAAAGCATCCTAGTAAGCATCCTGGGCTGTTTGCCGTCAGCGAGCTAGAACATGAAAATGAGACTGTGAACTTGTTTTTCGACCCAGATGAGTTGGAGAAGACACTAGAAACAAGAATCGAACTTGGTGAGTCAGACCTGGCCCCGGCAAACAGAGTTGACGCAGACGGCATGTCAAGTGAAGAGATCTTGAGCTGGACCTTTTAGCAAACAAAGTAGAGATGAGTAGGCTGAAGAGCCTTGGAGCGTTTCTTGATAGCAGTTCCCTTGCAAATGGACAGTTGAACCGAAACCCTTGACAACCAGATTTCGTTCGAACTTGGCGTGACAAGAAGTTGCGTGGGAAACATGCGTGGTAGGGCCGTCAAGGAATGTTGCACGAGAGTATGCCTGGTCGACACCTGAGCGTGAGGGTCTTTTCTCTCCTGCTTCCAGTGCCTTGACCGCGTGCCTTTTGCCTACTTTACGCTTAACTTGAAGTGGCGATTGAAGGGTTTCGTTCTTGATTTTGCTGACGCCTTCTTGACAGTTCCACAGAGAACTCTCACGGTTGCGAGCGGTGAATCTTCTGAGCACGCTCTGGGCAAGGTGTTGCCCGGCCAACGACGGCAGTCAGAGTTGCTGGAATAAGACCTTGGCGTTGGTACCCTTTTTTGCTGAAGAGTGACGACGGCCGTTGCACGACGCTCCTCCACATTGACGACAAAGGACGCGTTGAGGTCGAGAGAGAGAGAGAGAGAGCGCCAGGTGATGAGATCTGTTTCCTCAAACGTCTGCATGTTCTGAAAACAGATGTTGAATTGATCATTCAGTGAAACCCTAAGCCTAAGCCTCTGGAACACTTGTTCGAAGTCTGTCTGCATGTGTATATATACATATATATATATATTATATACGTGCCTTGCCGAGCCAACGCCCTTTGTCCAACTTGGGGCACCTTTTAATCTTGTTTTCACAAAACACAACACTGTCTCACCAAACACGCAGATTCTGCCTGCGTATTTTCGATCACAGCGTCGTTCGTTTGCAGCTTGGCCTGGACGACCAGCAAAACGGTTGTACCCACCTTGCACGCGCCAATCACATCACGGGGATTGCTCAATCCACGCTCGAGTCGTCTCTGCGCCACCATTCAATTGCGATGGCTTCCAGGAGGGACAGGTTCAACGAACGCCACAATTCCTGAAGGTCCTATGAGTCGAGGCTTGGTGGAGAAAGTGCCCTCGAAAGCACACAGGCTCCATTCGGAGTGTGTTCAACCAACACCCTTCCGCCGCACGACATCGTCATTGGGATGTCCTGATGGCCGGGCGTCGGTGGACGAAGATGCACTGGCACGTTCATGTAAGCGTGTAATATAATCGACAGGTGGGTATTGGGCCATTTCGGACGGCCTGGTCTTGCATCTCACGCGCAGCAGTGGCCGCTGAGTACTAGGGGCTGAACTTACTGGTTTGGTGGGCGTAGGTTGGGGGGGTTGTTTGCAAACAGTGCGTCGGATGTTGTTACGATCCTTCCATGGCCATGTGCGGCCACACGCAGTGCAGTTGATCTTCCCTTCATCTTCACGGCCCACAACCTTGCCAAGTTTACGATTCCAATCTAGTGTGTGTTTGTATTCCTGAAGGTCCTATAAGCTCTTTGCGTCTTGCGGTCGCCTCCAATAGCCTCAAATCAAAAAAGCAAGTTCATGGTCACACCTGAGTCCAATCTTCGTGCGCATTGCATCTGTATGTCTCTTGGCTGGCATACCCGAAATCAAAGAGAAAAATATTCTAAACGCTGCGCGACCTCGTCAATCAAAGGCTCGCTCAATTGGACAGCCTTGCCAGAGGGAGCTCCAGCGAAAGAAGGGCTTGTTGCATTGGAAGCGCTCGAAACCGCTGCAGTCTGAGAAGCGCTGTCATTGACTGTCATCGCTGGCGACTGCATTGATGTTCTTCTTGCCACCGGGCTTGCCATTCAAAGCCCGCCAATCGCGCTTCCACTTGGGACCGGTTCCTTTTCCTTCGCAAGAATACTAACCTTTTCCATGGCCATTATTACCGCCTTCAGTCTGCTGCTTACCTTTTCCTTTTCCACGCAGGTCTTTTCCTTTACCTTTCACCCTTTTCCCTGAACCTTTGCTCACCAAATCAATCTCCATTGGTCCATGGGGGCCAAAGGAGGTTTGAGAAGAATTGCAAAAAACGCCGAATTCTTCAAGGGCAACTGGTTGTCACGGACTTGTAGCCAACGACCAGGCTTCAAGTTGGAGCTGGATACGCTGTTGAATATGCGTGGCAAGAGCTCGCACCAAAACAGACAGCATCAAATCGTCTGAAACTTCTTCTCCACTTGAACGCCTGTACTCATAAAACGCTCAATGCCAAGGTCTTGTTGCAGCCAAGTCTTGTCTTTCACAAACGGTGGGAGGTTCATTAAAGCAGAAAGAGAAGAAATGGATCTACAGTAGTATGATCTGCTCTTTGTACGTGGTTTGTAAAGCTGAACTAACTGTCGCCGCACTTCCAGGCCATTGCCTCTAAAACTTGTCGGAGCACTCTCAATGGGATTCCCTTCACCAGTCCCGTCAAAAAGAAATATATATATATAGCTGTTTCGCGCGTTCTTGGGGCGTAGAGCAGCCAGGCCTTGAAGTTGGCGCAACAGTCAGCCCAACGAGCACTATCTCCATCTGTATCCAAGAGGCTGAACCTCTGCGTCGCGAGCCAAGCCCATCTCTGCCTCTCTCAGCAATCCTGACCGCAGGCAATGAAACAAGGGACAAGTCGAACGAAGCTCCAAGGTATCTGCAAAGCGAAATAGCATCTATTTCGCACGAGACTTCCTCCAAATCCCGCGGCCAGTCTTCAAAACGACTTCCTCCAAAAGCCATGCGTCAAGCCTCCAAAACAAGTGAGTGTATACGAGACTTCCTGAAAACGTCAAGTCTCCAAAGCCAGCGTTTTGCACGAGACATCCTCCAAAAGTCACGTGTCACGTCTCCAAAACGAACGCTCACCCTCCAAAAGTGAAGCGGGAAGTCTGATCCGAGCGAACACATCAGCAGCCTGCCAAGCAGCTTCACAATTCCAGCCTCTCAACACCCCCACGGCCAATGCCAGCTTCACAGCAACACTCAACACCTCCAGAAGACACCAATGGCACAGTGATCAAACATCCGGACCGCGCAAAACGCTGCTGCACCTGCGCAGGAACACTTCACGTTCACAACCCGGACACTTCTCCCTCATCCAAGAACTCTTCCACAACCTTCCCCCAACGGCGCGAATTTTCGACAGGATAACGACAAGACCGGGGATACAAAACCACGCGAGGCGAACACAGGTTCAACCCCCAGACCCCCAGACTATAAACAGGAACCCTTCGCTAGCATTCGGGAAAAACAAACAACAACCAAGAAAACTATCAAATACTGTGACGCGTTGTCTTGATGTTGTGATTGTGAGGGCTAGGCGACCAGCCCCTGGTTTCCCCTAAATGTTGCAAGTAAGAATCAAAGCTGCTTAGCTCTTTCTGGGAGAGCCGGGAAGCGCCGTATCAGGCGTTTGCGCGCGCGCCCAAACCTCTACCTCTACCACCCCACAATCCTGAAAGCTAAACCTTAAAACTAAACTAACTAGACAGCCACTAACCGGCACTGCTCGCTGCTACGCTCAAAGCACTATCAGCGCGTCCGACAAAATTGATGAGAATATTCAGTGCATTGCCTCACAGCTGCTTTGCACAGGTTGCCTCTGGTACCTCTTCTGCAGCTGTGCACAGCGCCGCTGGTCCAACCATTGCCGCACGCTCTGCTGTTGCCGCTGCATCATCAAGCGTAGATGGACTGGCACGCACAATGTCTACATCACTCTAATCGCTCTGATGGACAATTCAGACTTAAGAGAATTCTGCCACCCCTGATGTAAGTATCAAGCTAGCAGGTTATCAGCTTTCCGTGTGCCTTCAAGCAAAGTTTCCTGTTAGGGTCTGCATCAGCCTGTCTACGGAGCATTCAGCATGCTCGCCAACGGCCTCCAAATGGACTGCCAGAATGAGCGCCGAAAGACGAAGGTTGGTGACAAGCGCACGCCGTATTCTTTGGGCAGCACTCGATCAAAGTACCAACCAAGGGCTGTGAACCTGAAGTTCACTTTCAGCGCTGCAAGTTTGACACTGGGCATTCGCTCAGGTTGACAATTGGATCCAGCGCCGGCAAATAAAAACATGTTTTTTCGAGAACTAGGCAAAACGGAAACACGATGGATTGCGTGCGAAAGAACCACTTCGCACATTTTTCACATTGCAGGGCCATTGCAGAGGCACACAACTGCAGGACTCTTTAACAAAAGCAACAGCTAACAGTTGATCTTCTTCATCATCTTCGGATAGCCACAAGGGTCAGATGCATGTGCTGTCGAAAACTGAAAACCTCACAATGAACACGGCAGCGCGCCTGTTTCGCTCGAAAGGGAATTGAGCCTAAAGGTCGTTAGGCATGTCTGGCGTCTGGTTTACACCCTGCCTTTTCGAGGGTGTCTTTGGACAACAGCCGAGGCCTTTGCCCTTTGCTTGGCTTTCCTTTCCTTTGCCATCTTTACCTTCTGCTGCTTTCCTTTGCCCTTTGAGTCCGTGTGGGCATAGCCTCCATAGCCTTTCCCCTTCTGCTTGCCTTTGTCCTTCCCTTTACCTTTTCCTTTCTCTTTTCCTTTCACTCTGTCAACCTCCATGGGGATCACCTCATCATCCTATTCTCTGTAAATGGCCTGCGGCCCCCATGATGTCGTCGTCCTCTCACAGGCCAACATCTTCTCTCTCGCCTCCTTGTAGCTGGTCCCTTCAGTCATCCGGAGCTGCCTCACTGCAGCTGGCATCGCCCGCAGCGAGACACTCAGCTTGGTGTTGCCGCTGATGTCCTCCTTGGCCAGTATTCTTCGGCCAACCTTTCAAGGCCAAGCAGCTGCTCCAGCATCGTAGTGTTCTTCTCCTTCGTGAAGGTCGGGTGGTTGAGGACTGCCTGCAGGGGAGCGATCGACCTCGACCGTGTCCCTTGGAGGTGTGTGGACAGTTGGCGCCACACTTCATAGCCATTGCCCTCAGCAGCTTCAAAGACCTATTCCTCAGAAGCCCCACCAAAATGGCATACAGCTTCTCTGACCTCGCCTGCTCTTCTTTGCTCATGCTCATGAGCTTCACTTGTCTGACCCTTCGATGGCCTCGATCTCCTTGTGGTATGCATCTTCAGCGAACACTATCCAGCTCTTGAAGGTCAGCCTCCAGCCTTGCCACTGCGAAATCTCTTCTTCCATGGTCTTTGGCTCAAATGGATCTGGAGGTCTCACGACCTTGCTGGCCGTCGCAAGGCCTTCTCCGGCCTTCTTCACATCTTTCTCTTTCACCTCCTTCAGAATCTTCACGGCCTGGGCCATGGCAGCAAATTGCTGCAAAGCCGCAATCGGCATCCATCCTTTCTCTTTCTTCTTTTCACCTTCTTTTCTCTTCTTCTTTCTTTCCACCTTCCTGGATCTTCACAATCCTTTGACTGGGTATATTTCAAGAGCCCCCCCGGGTCGGCTCCGCTACCATGAAAACCTCACACTGAACGCGGCAGCGCACCTGTTTCGCTCGAGAGGGAATTGAGCCGAAAGGTCGTTAGGCCTGTCTGGGGTCTGGTTTACAAAAACCTTTATCTGCAGGCTCGAAATCGATCCAACCATCCGCTGAGCCGTAGGAGCTGGACAAAAAAATAAACATTGGATACTGTGACTCTCGACCCTTCAAATCCCATCACATAGCTGGAAGCGGAAGATGAGAATGACTCAGAAAAACACATCTAACGCTAGCTTTTGGAACAAAATCACATCGAACGCATTCACTCACGTCATGCGCTGAGCTGCAAAATAACATCCAGGCACATCATGCCCAGGACAGATATGAAGGAGGAGTTTCTCACCTTGGACATTTTTCCGACTACTGTATCTGATAGACTTCAAAGGCTGTTGCCCCTTTTCCATGCTTGCTGAAGCACTTCCATCCAGACATTATCAAAATTCACGCCAACCCGGGCAGCTTCGAACTTGGCGAGAATTTCTAGGCCCGTGCAAAAGGCTGCATTGGGCATCAGCATTAACCTGTCAAAAAACGTAAGCGTTGCCGTCGGCTAAGCATCGCCACGGAGAAACAACCTGTGACAACACCTACGAAAAGGATAGTGCTCGGGCGAGAGACAGCAATGTAATACTCTCAGATGGAGGGCCCTCTTGGTTCTGCGATGAATACCTCACATCGGGCAGCTTTAAATCAAAGCTGCAATATCCTGACAAGTCAACCAAGCTTTGAAGACTTGCAAGTTTGAATGTCACTAGTGTATCCAGTGAACGTACATTGAACTCTGAACAGGAACACGCGCCATCTGGTGTCGTCTAAAAGCCAACTAGACGACGGTTGGCCCGAGAGCGAGACATGCACTGTCGAGCGCTGAAACAATATTACACCACCGTAGACTCCAAACACTTTGTGTTTTTCAAAACCGGAACACTGCAACTAGAGTTTGTGACGTCCAGGGCTGGGAGACAAAGGATTGCAAGGCAGAGGCGGACACAGCAGTCCAGAGCTGGGAGACACATGTAGACACAGCGAGACAAATGTAAGGGATTGCAAGCGACATGCAGCTGAGAGCTGGGAGGCAAACAAAGGATTGCAAGGCAGTGGCGGACACAGCAGTCAGCGCTGGGAGACACGCAATTCAAGGATTGCATGGCAGAGGCGGACACAGCGACCCAGAGCTGAAAACAAATGTAAAGGATTGCAAGCGAGAGGCAGACATAGCAGCCCAGAGCTGGGAGACAATTGTACTGCATAAATGGATTGGCAAGCGAGAGGCGATGACCAACAAGAAGAGATACGAGAAGGTAGACAAAAGGAAACAGAAGAGACACAGTGACCAACAAGAAGGGAGGCAAGACCCGAGACAAAGGGAGACAGCGGACACAATGACCAGCAAGAAAAGAGACAAGAAGTGAGACAAAGGCAAACAGAAGGGAGACAAGGCGGACACAGTGACAGGGGAGACAAAAGGAGACAGAAGGGAGACAAGGCGGACGCAGTGACCAACAAGAAGGGAAAGGGTGACAAGCCGGACGGAAGTCGGACACGCTGTCCCGCGGCAAGGCGGACACTCTTAACGAGCATTGAGAACTGTTTGGTGAAAAAAGTGAAGAAATCACTTTGGAGACAAATGAATTGAAACGCTGCATGGCCAGTGGAAAAAGGGCGGACGCCAGCAGTGCAGGCGAACCTGGGAATGAAGACGGACACAGTGACCACCAAGAAGGGAGACAAGACCGGAGACAAAGGGGTACAGAATTGAGACAAGGACGCAATGACCAACAAGAAGGGAGACAAGAAGGCCAACAAGAAGGGAGACAAGAAGAGAGAAAGACAAGAACGAAAACAAGAACGGACACAATGACCAACAAGAAGGGAGACAAGAAGGGAAACAAAAGGGAGAAAGACAAGACGGACACAAGAATGGAGAGCAAAAAGGGAGACAAGACTGGAGACAAAGGGAGAAGGAGACAGAAGGAGACAAGACAGACAGAGTGTCCAACAAGAAGGGGAAACAAAAGGAGACAGAAAGGAGACAAGGCGAACGCAGTGACCAACAAGAAAGGAGACAAGACCGCAGACAAAGAAAGAGAGAAGGGAGACAAGGCGATGCGTCTCCTTTTGTCTCCTTCTTTTTCTTGTCTCCCTTCTTGTTGGTGAAGGATTGCGGACACACCAGCTCAGAGCTGGGAGGCGCACGTCAAGAAGGCAGACGAAAGGAAACAAAAGGGAGACAGGGCGGACACACTAACCACCACAAGACCGGACAAGGGACACAGAAGGGAGACAAGGCGGAGACAATGACCAAAGGCGGACACAGTGACCACCAACAATAAGAACAGAGGGTGACAAGCCGGACGGAAGGCGGACAAGCAAGGCGGACACCCTTAGAAAGCATTGAGAAACCCTAACAGTAACCTGTTTGGGGAAGTTAAGAAACCACCTGGGAGACAAATGAATAGAAATGCTGCATAGCGGAAAAGGGTGGACACCAAGCCTGCGAGACAAAAGTAAATAAGTCACATGGGAGACAATGAATAGACACGCTGCATGGCCAGCGGAAATGGGCGGACACCACCAGTGACGTACCTGGGAGACAAATGAACATGGCCCGCGGAAAAGGGCGGACACCAGCAGTGACAGACCTGGGAGACAAATGAATAGAAATGCTATGGCCAGCGGAAAAGATTGGGAAACAAATGAATAGAAATGCTACATGGCCAGGGAAAAGGGCGGACACCAGCAGTGACACAAAGGACGGACACATCTCAATTTTTCCCCAAACAGTTTACTGTTAGGGGTTCTCAATTCTTGATTATTTGTCCAAGAGTTGCGAAGAAATTAGACTTAAAATATGAAGAGAAAAGATATATAGAAAGAGAGAAAGAGAGGGTGGACGTGAAGGAGTGACAGTGTGGATGCGCAGGTGCGATATAGATGCGCAGATGTATGGAGGTGGAGAGGTAGATCTGTGGATGTGAGCGCGTCAAGATACTCTTGTGGGACACTCTTGCGGGTCACTCTTGTCAGAAGCACCAGCCTCACGCCGCGTTTACGCCAGCATGTTTCGCGCTCCCCAGTGGCACGGCACCGCGCAAACGCACTTTCCACCAAGCACAAATCCCAGCGACATCACCAACGTCGCGTCGCCACATGTCTGCCCAGACACTAGACGCAAACATGTCACATGATACCGCTCATGAGCGACGCGCCGCGTTTACGCCAGCCTGTTTCGCGCTCCCCACTGGCGCCACGCAAACACTTCCCACCCAGGCCGCGCAAATCCGCATGGCACCGCGACATCACGGACGTAATTCACCACACGGTCTGCCCACACACTAGAAGCAATCCTAATCACGCGATACCGCCAATAATCCCGCTCACCAGCGATGCGTCGCGTTTCCGCCGGCATGTTTCGTGGCACGGCGCCACGCACACGCACTTTCCACCAAGGCCGCGCAAATCCGCATGGCCCTGTGACATCACGAATGTCGCGTCGCCCCACGGTCTGCCCACACACTAGAAGCAATCCTATCACACGGTACCGCCTATCATCCCGCTCACCAGCGGCACGCCGCGTTTACGCCAGCCTGTTTCGCGCGCCACGCAAACGCACTTTCCCACAAGGCCGCGCAAATCCCAATGGCACTGCGACATCACCAACGTCGCGTCGCCACACGGTCTGCCCAGACACTAGCCGCAGACATGTCATACGACACCACAAATCATCCCGCTCACCAGCGACACGCCGCGTTTACGCTAGCCTGTTTCGCGCTGTTGAGTGGCACAGCGCCACGCAAACACACCTCCCACCCAGGCCGCGCAAATCCGCATGGCACTGCGACATCGCGCGCGTAATTCGCCACACGGTCTGCCCACACACTGGAAGCAATCCTAACGATACCGCCAATCATCCCGCTCAACAGCGACACCCCGCGTTTACGCCAGCATGTTTCGCGCTCCCCGGTGGCACGGCGCCACGCAAACGCAATTTCCACCAAGGCCGCGCAAATCCGCATGGCACTGCGACATCACGGACGTCCCGTCGTCCCACGGTCTGCCCACACACTAGAAGCAAACATGTCACACGATACCACAAATCGTCCCGCTCACCAGCAACGCGCCGCGTTTACGCCAGTCTGTTTCGCGCTTCTGAGTGGCACGGCGCCACGCAAACATACTTCCCAGCCAGGCCGCGCAAATCCGCATGGCACTGCGACATCACGGACGTAATTCGCCACACGGTCTGCCCACACACTAGAAGCAATCCTATCACACGATACCGCCAATCATCCCGCTCACCAGTGACACCCCGCGTTTCCGCCAGCGTGTTTCGCGCTCCCCAGTGGTACGGCTCCACGCAAACGCACTTTCCATCAAGGCCGTTCAAATCTGCATGGCACTGCGACAGTACGGACGTAATTCGCCACACGGTCTGCCCACACACTAGAAGCTATTCTAGCACACGATAGATACCACCAATCATCCCGCTCACCACACTTCTGAGTCCAGCTCCAAAAAGCTCTTTCCCGCACTACATTTGCACTACAAACTGGCCAAGTATGAGTCCAGCTCCAAAAAGCTCTACTACATCTGCACTACAAACTGCCCACTGAGTCCAGCTCCGAAAAGCTCTTTCCCGTCGCGACCGGGCCAAAAACGCACTCTCGCCTGCATTTCGCCGCACAGGGTTGCCCGCGACCGGGCCAAAACGCACTCTCACCTGCATTCCGCGCCCTCGACACGCACGATCTCCGCAGAGGGTTGCGCCGGACCGGGCCAAAACGCACTCTCGCCTGCATTTCGCGCCCTCGACACGCACGATCTCCGCAGAGCGTTGCCCGCGCCAAATCCAAACTCTCGCCTGCATTTCGTGCCCTTGACGCGCACGATCTCCGCAGAGGGTTGCCCGCGACCGGGCCAAAATGCACTCTCGCCTGCATATCGCGCTCTCGACACGCACGATCTCCGCAGAGGGTTGCGCCGGACCGGGCCAAAACGCACTCTCACCTGCATTTCGCGCCCTCGACACGCACGATCTCCGCAGAGGGTTGCGCCGGACCGGGCCAAAATGCACTCTCGCCTGCATTTCGCGCCCTCGACACGCACGATCTCCGCAGAGGGTTGCGCCTGACCGGGGGCCAAAACGCACTCTCGCCTGCATTTCGCGCCCTCAACACGCACGATCTCCGCAGAGGGTTACGTTTCGTGGTGCTCCGGCGGCACCGCCCCCGGCCTTAGGTGAAGCTGTGAGATGTGGATGTGAGGATGTGACGATGAGCAGAGATGTAGATGAGAGAAAGTAAAGAAGAGAGATGTAGATGAGAGAAAGTAAAGAAGAGCCAGAGGTGAAGATGTGAGATGTAGATGTGAGGATGTGAAGATGAGCAGAGATGTGAAGATGAGCAGAGATGTAGATGTGCAGATGTGAATGTAGATGTGAAGATGAGCAAAGATATAGGCTATAGGTGAGAATGTAGATGCGCAGAGGTGAAGATATGAAGATGTAGATGAGACGTAGTTCTGCAAATGTTTTTTTACGAAGAACCCTTCGCAGACGCTCTCGGGAAAAAGGCCGAAAAGGACTTTGGTGAAATCCAAGAAGCAAAAGGAATGGAGCAATGTGTTTTCCTTTCTCCCGTGTTCCATTAAGTTTCCCTCAAAATCTAGGAACCAAATCATTAGTGCGAGCGCTTCTTCAAGGAGCTTCCAGGGGAGGGGAGCTTCCTTGAAGAAGCGTGAGCTATCCTGCGTCCAGTGGGTAGTAGATTAAGCAAGGTAGTAGCTACCTCCATTATATAGAATTGTATTTCGTTCTTTCTTTCAGCTTTGGCTTGGAAAGCGCCGAAGGGTAGTCCGGGTTGTCAACCCAGTTGCAACCCGCAAGGACCTCCAGGGGTCCAAAGGTGTCCTTCTTAGCCCTTGGGTTGCATTCCTAATTGCACCCAGGAGCACATCATTAGGTCGATAGAAAAGGTTCCCTTGGTTCGACTTGGTTTCTTCCCTTTTGTGGGAATCAACGAGCACTTGCATGCTGAAACTTCGCAAGCTCTTGCTTGCTCAGTTTTATTTGCCAGCAAAATTGCACGATCCATTGCGCAAACATAATGATCATGCCAACAATACCTCCTGCAAACGGCTCAAGGCATTGAACGCTTACAAGTCAACCAGGTCATTGACTTCCACTAAAATGAGTTGAAAAGCTTTTGCACTCTGGCAATACTTTGGAACACTTGCACTGTCCTGTCCGAGACTGGTTGAAGAAGCAATGAATAAACCAAGCCTTAGATTGAATTCTAATGCTTCTGGCTTGCGCTTCACTGCCCTAACTAACCCACTTGATCCTGCCTACATTGCCTACATGCAGCTGTGAAGTTCTTCTAAGTGGCGAAGGCAAGAAAGGACATGCACCACAGCCAGAAGAACAAGAAAATCAACGCTAACGAAGAATGTGGGAAAACCTTGGTTCTGAACTTTTCAAGATGCAACATGAACACTATGGTGCAAATTGAGATTGCTTGCCGGGCAAGACAAGTCTTCTCTTCGCTGTCATGCAGTGGATATGCGAAGTATGATCAAAGTGATTCGGAATCAGGTATTACGGTATTACTCTGACACAGGCGAAGTGAGAACAGTTCTGCTTTATTGTGTTCATCTTTTCTAATGCGTGTTTCTGCAGCAATAGACGTAGTATCAAAACCTACAAAAAAGCACCCTCAGCACAAATTTCTGGCAAGCTGCATAGAATGAAGCTACAATGGCAAAAATTGCGCATAGGGCAGCAAAAATGATCCCGTAGGTGACAAACCAAGAGCCTGCAACTTGAGGCAACTTGAGCAAATCTGCCCGATAGGACTCCCCTTGCACAACAGTCAGCTCCAACAAAAGTCTTCTGCCAGGTAACTGATAATTGCCAAACTCCGCACTCCGAGCATTCTCAAGCTTTCTCGCACTTTGGTTTCTTTCTCCGAAATCAGCTCATTCAGAACCTTGCTCGGGCGGAGTTGCGGTCCGTCAGAGGCATGCTATCAGGTTTGGGGTGTAGAGAGTTACTGAAAGGCTCCCGTTCCGAACGAACATTAGAAAGGCTGAGTGTACATGTCACATTACAGCTGTGACCTTTGGCTAGTGCTACAGGTGCAGCAGCTAGTGAGTCAGTGTCTAGCGCTGGTCCAAGCCTTTTTTTGCGTGTAGAGGAAGGCTACAATGAAGACCAAAGGGAAGGCAAGCGCAATAAGTTCCTCGGCACAGTGCCTTCGAGGCGCCCCATCAGTGCTTGCAATCAAACTGCCAAGACTCATAAAATCCGTCAATAACTTTGCCCCCCACAGGCATAGGCAAAGTTGCTACGCCCTGAGGCAAGTAACCTGACTCTGCAAGTATCTAAAAAATGCCGATGCAGGTCGTAGTGTCTACGGCAATGAAGCGAAAGCTCCTTCTGCATTGCTGGCTTCACTGCCTGTTACTACCTTACTACCTCTCCGAGTGGCGCAAATGCTCGGTAATGGTGGCTTGGGTCTCCAGTGATTCATTCATTGCCCAAGTCAGACCACTTGCTAGTAGCAGTTCATGGCAAGTCTCCTTAGGTTTATGCAAAGTGTGCTGTGTGGGGTGTGAAGAGGACAACACCAGGATTGCATCGACTCAGTAATGCAGCTTTACAGCTTTACAAGTGTCATTTGTAAGCTCAATATCTCTTGGCCAACCGATAATGTATCGATCCACCAAAAGCTGTAATGAGACAAATCCTCTTCTGACATATACAAATGCCTCACAGTGTCAGGCAGTATGCAAGATCTTGACAAAAGAAAGAAGCATCAGTGAATCAGCTGCCACAACGTTTGGTCCCTTGCTAGGGCTTTGAAGTGCTGTGTTGGCACCTCATTGTTTCGAAGTCCTAAATCCAGGGGCCGAGTCGGTGGAACTCGCGTGAAGATTTGAGTACCTGAAATTTAATTTTGTGGATTCAGCAACGGCTAAAAAAAACAAAGAAGTAAAATGAGCTCCTAGAACGAAATCTCAAGTGTAATTGTCGCTCTCCAAGCAAACGCTTCACGATGCCTGAGGAAACATTCAACCTGATGCTGTAGTCCTCAGTTGCCAGACTTATTTTATGTGAACGATTCTGAATAGGACAAAGGCAAAGTACCACGGTGCGAAGTACCCTTGCACACTGCTGGCATTTCCGGTAGCAAAGCGGCCCAATCTCCTGGAGCACCTTTCGCCCCCGACGGCAGCTGATGAAAGACGAGAGCAGCAAAGAGCTTTACACCCTCGGTTGAGAGATCTCCAAATCCCTAATTAGAAACAATAAATTCTTGTTTCTACTAGCTTCTTGTTACTACTAGTAAGGCACTTGTTACTACTAGTAAGGCACCTTGTTACTACTGACTGTCACAAACTCCTCCCGTGAAGGATCGAAAAGAATCTCTCGAACAAAGGTTGATGCACACAAAGGGCCGCACATGCCGAAACCGTTGCAGCCGAAGAACAGTGTCCATGTAGCTTTCCAACTCTGCAGCGGTGAAGATCTTGGGATGGGTGAGGTTGGCAAAACCTGGAAGAACTCCTGGATTGATTTTTTCCTTCATACCTGAGATGGAAGCAACATCTGCCATTTCATGTTCTGTAGACTAACCCTGGCAAAGTGAAACGCTGAGTATCACAAACAATATGTACATAGAATTGCAAAAGCTGTATCTTTCTATAAGTAAGAAAAGAAGATGTTGAAGTTGAAACCAAAGCACAGCGCAATGTCGATCTGTTCTCCTCCAAAAGGCACTGAGCTGCAAGGTACTTTATTTTTGCTAGCTAGTTGTCTTGAGCAACAGGAAAACAAAAGGACCCAAAAGTCACGTCACTGAAAGCGGTTTTCGCGGTTTCACCTGTGTGCTAGTTCCTCTCAACTCGCTCTGTGACACTCCGACAGTTGGCATCATTACTACATCGCAGATTGCACAACACTCACTGGGCACAACCCCACAGCCAGTGACCCAAACCCTTCGAGGCCTTAATCTGCATGACTTCACTTTCAATCTTTCCCAGAAAGTCTCTCTCAAGCGGAATGCACGGGATATTCCTGGGAATGCAGAATAAAGACCAAGCAAAGAAAAGGGGCATGTGACGTGTCTTCACATCACAAGAAAATACCCGCAAAAGGCGAAACTGTCCAATCGACTTGTTTGTGGGAAAAAAAGAATTGATAGTGGACGTAAAAGCATCTGAACAGAGAAAAGAGAAAACAGAATGCACTGATTTGTCACTTTAGCCATCAGAGATCACAATCCAAGAATCGTCATGTTGATGTCTGGAAACCACTCCGCTGTCACTGTCTCACCTGAGCTCAAGAAAGCTCCTGAAATGTGATAGCCAAAAAAGTGAAAAACAAAAGCCGCAGTTCTTTTTTGGGCCGATAGGTAGCCAGTAGAAGAGAGTAGTTTGCTAGTAGTCACTAGCACGCTACTACCGACAGGACGCAGGATAGTTCACGCATTAGTGATTTGGTTTCAAGATTTTTAGGGAAACTTCCTGTACTGGAACTTCTCTTCAGTCAAAGAGCGAAACTGCTCCACCTTCGGCACATCTGCAGCTTTCTCTGCAGCAAGCGCGATGCGTTCCCCAGTCCAGTGTAAGTATGACAAAACCACATAAAAGTCCCTCAGCTACAGTTCGCAGCACAAAAACAAAAAAGTTGGCTTCAGCCTGCTCTCCCATTGATTAAGAAACCATCTGTAATGTGTACTGTATATACTGTATATTGCGAATTTTTCCTTAGTCCAAAAGGGCTGCATCAGGTTATCTGTACACACTATGATGTCATAATGTTCTATATCTAGGTAGTGGTTTACCTTGAACATGCTTCACACTCCTTCTTGGTAGTGTGAGCGCACGAATTGCTATTCTAGCTCACTCTGCCACCATAGTTCACTCTGCTTTCATCATCCTTATGTTGTATTGTCCACTCTCTCAAGAACGGGGTTCTTGGAGCTTTCTGATGGCATTCTATCTGAGTGATCTCTTCTCTCTTCTGCAATTTCAAGCAACTGTTCATAGCGTTTTTTCTCTCTCTCAACTGGATCTCCTGGATCTTCCTAGCAAAAGCTCATGTCTTCTGTCCAGTTGACAAATTTTCAACTCCAGTCCGCCACACATTTGTATTGCCTGTTCTCTCGCATGTTCTGCCCTCATAGACAGTGCCCTATTCCCTGGTCTGAAGCTCCTTGTCAATGGTCCTTCTGAAGGAATTGCTCCCTGATTGGCTGCTTCTGACATCACTCCATGACCCTCATATTGTCCTTCTGTTGATCTCATGTCTTCCAAGCTCCTTCTGGCCAAGAAGTTTGCTGCATTGATTTCTCCCAGCATGTCATAGCTGATTCTAGTTTGAGTGTTTTGTGTTTCTCTCTACAAAGCCTCCATTGAGAACCAAACCACCATGAGCTCTCCTGGCACAATCCCTGAGTAGGCCACTCTGGCGTTCATCACCTCCATTTTCTCTCATCATATCCGCACGCTCCACCATTCTGAATTTTGCTTCATCGGTTCTTAAACGAATAGTTTCCATCGCGTCTTCATAGAGCTTTTCAATATGCTTGTAGGGCTTCCATAGTGCAAAGGTCACTGCTGCAAAGCCAATGATAACAAGTGTAAGAAGCACAATAATCAGGACTTTCCAGTTTTCATTGAATTCTTTTCCTCTTCTAATCCACACTGGGTGTTCACTTTCCCTCTGATGAAGTCTTCTGTAACGATTGGCTGCAACTCAAACAAACGCTACCATCTTCACAATCATCTTGGCAATCTTGTTGACCTGTCCTGCAAAGTTCTTTTTCTCTCCAAACACCTTTCTCTCATGCTCCCCTACTCTTGTTTACTCTTCATTATGCCAATACCCAAGGAGGTTCGTCAAGTATCTGATTCTCTGCCCTCCAAGTGGCTTGTTTTTGATGTCTGCCATGTTGCTATCTGCTGGTACTTGTACCATCTTGCAGTCTTTTCTGTTCTGACTCCGTAGCAACGTTCCATCCAAATGTCTCACTTTTCCAACTCCTGCTGCTGTTGAACAATGGACAACTGCTCCTTGCATGGAACCCTCCTGAAGTTGACTTTCTGTGGCTCTTGTTTCCACTCCAATCTGAAGCTGAGAATGTTTCCAAGCACCAATGGCTTTCTCCTTTCTTCACATAGCCTTCACCTGCTTGTGGAAATTCAACTACTAGACAATATAGTCCATAGTCTTCTTCAAGTATCCTAGGAACTTCTTCATTGATTCATTGGTGAAATGACATAGCCGTAGGATTTGATACTCTTGAAGCCAATTCCTTCACTGCAAACGCTAGGAGATAGATACCTGATCCAACAATACTTCTGAAAAGGCTGATCTTCTCTTGCTCATGCAAGACTCCCAACTTATCTTCCATCTGAATTGAGTTGTCTGGTCGTAGTTGCTGGAGTTTGATCTTCCCAATCTGCTCTTCATAGGCTTTCAGCATCTGCTGGATGTAGTTGCCTGGCTGGACCCATAGTCCATTTGCACTTTCTCCTCAGGAAGTTGAACTCATCACCAATCTTCTCAATTTTGCTCACACGGGTGTCAAGCCTGCGTTGGAACAAAGATTTCATTGGTGTACTTTGAACAACCTGTGAAAATCAAGTCATCCGCATGAATCAGTATGATACTCTTCTCATTTCGTCCTAGGCGTGGACACTCAGCACTGAACGTGTATTCGGGTTCCTCGGTAAGGTACTCTGTGAAAAAGTCAAACCACGCTTTTGCCCCGACTCTCTGCCCAGGTAAATTTCTCTTCGCCAAGAAATCTTCTCCTCTCAAGTTCACCTTCAATGGCTTCTTTGTGGAACCTGCAAAATGCATCTTTCACATCAAGACATCCTCGCATATGGGAAAGAGACGGGACTGTTGTGGGTTGCAGAAATCAGGATTCTGAAGATTAATCTAAATTAATCCTCTTGTATAGTTGATGCAGGGCAAGGTTCAAAATAAACTTCAACAAGTCAGCTTGCGTGAGCTCTTGAATCTAGCAACATACTATGATATGACATTGTTAAAAATAGAGAGCGGGTAGTCATGGGGGGGTGGGGTTGTGAAAGTTGTGATTCTGTAAGGTTTTGCTCTTTTTGCAGATGATATGACATTGATAGGGTCGTGAAACTTGTGGCCAAGTTTTTTGCTCTGTGCGCAGTTGGTAAGCATATTTGTTCCTTTGACTATGTACTACAAAAGTATCTAAATCCAAAAGGTTACGTGTTTACTAAGAAGCTCTTGGGTGTAGTAATCTAATTCCACGCAACCCCCATACAAACCATATTTCTTGCTTTTAGAGTACTTAGAGCTTGGTTAGTAGAACAGTAATGTAGAATTGATTGCAGTTCACATTCAAGGCCTTCATCTTTCTTTTCTTCTTCTTTCTGACCTTCTACCTCCTTCTCCGGTCGAGTAGGGGTAATCTCTTCGATTGCCCTCCACGCCGTTCTTCCCTTCATCTCTGTTCTCAAGCTTCTTGTACTCTGGCGCAAAGAACCCCATATCTTCTGGCGGCGCTGGCTCATAGCCCAGGACCGTCATTGAAGGAATGACTGCATACTTGCTCGTCAAGTTTCTCCTTTTTCATCATGCTTTCACAATATTCAGGCATTAGCCATCAACCTCCTCTTTTCACCAAAGTGGCTCTCATCAACTCTGGTGACTAACTTCTGGAATGGTTGTGAGATCAACAAACCTTGAAGTCAATAAACTTCCAACTAGCAGTCCATGCTCATTGAATCTCCAACCTGCCTTCTTTTCCAAAGCTTCAGGTACTTGCGCCTCCAAGCAGCTTTGATCTTCATTTCCAATGACTCTAACGCGGCCTCGAACTGTCAAAGAGCGATTTTGCAAGTTGAGTGGTACATTCAAGCCACCATTCTCCAACCTTTGCTCTCTGCTATTGATTCCCCAACCATGTTCCATCAGCCTTCCATAACAAAGTATGGGCTGATTCACCTTTGAGCTGAAGATCACGCTCCCTTTGAGAACAACTTCACGTCCATCAAGGTCACGCAAGGAAATTTCAACACTTTTCGCACCCCCACTGAAAATTCGATCCCCCTGCTCATCTTGTAGCTTGGTCTTTGTACTGAACTCTAGTTCACCTTCCCGATACTCCAAGGGAATAAGGCGGCTCCACTGTCAATAATGATGGCCACATCCTCCTCCTCTTCCCCAAGTCTCCTCACCATGGGTTCATTCTTTGACATCTGGCTCTTCATCGTCATCATCATCATCATCGTCGTCATCATCATCATTATAGAAGTGAATCGCTCGAATTCCATGATCTTCTACCTCTTCATCCATTTCTCGCAAGTCAAAGATGATTGGCTCACTGTTCTCAATCCTTCTGACCACTGGTTTGGTCTCTGCTGAACTACTCTGCTGGCTAACATTGGCCCGTTGTTGACCAACTGTATGCCTCCTGAAGATGAATGGGCTGGATCACTTGCAACCTGTCGAATAATGTTCCTCCAACAGTCTCAACCAAGATGTCCTGCCTTTCCACAAGTGAACACGTTGCCACACCTTTACCTTTCTGGTCTGTTCCTTACCTTCGCCCTTCTGATCACCTTCGTTTCCTTTCTGGTCTCCTTTTCCTGTCTTTCCTTTGCCCTTCGCATCCTTACCTTTACCATTCTGATGGTCACTCTTACCTTACCCTTTCCTTTGGCATCTTGAACTCGATCAATGTCCATTGGCATGGGTCCTTGTCAGTCTGTACTGCTATTTGCCACCACGGAAGAAGCCCACTTCTGCTGAGAACGATCCCATTGCAACACTTGTTCCCTCCAAGTTGAGCATTGTCGCCTATCGTCAATTTCAAGTATGATTTGAGTTGTCCACCTACACGACTCAAAAGAATAGCAGATTTCAACTCTTCTTGAATTGTCGTCCCCGCCTTGACCGTCTCATCAATACTTCTTCAAGCTTCAGAAGTTGAGATTGTAGCGCACTATTCATTGAAAATGCTGGCCATGTAGCGGCTGATCATGTAGCCTTTTCAAGAGGTTTCAAAGCTTTGTTCAAACTCCTCCAGGCATCGGACCCATTGGAGTCCTCCACAGCTTTCACCAATTGCAGCGCTCTTCCCCTCATCAATGAAGCTAACAATCCATAGGGCTTGACGCACCCGGCCTTCTCCTCTGTTGTTGCCAAAGCCACGTCAGACTTCTCACTTGGCTTTTCTTGAATTTCCTTCAACTCCTGCGCGTAAGCCTCATCAACTGCGCTCGTAGTCAAAGACGTTGGGCTTTGCAATGAGTTTTGACCAGTCAGCTGTTGATGACTTCTTGTCCTCAACTGCTTTCTTCGCTGCCTCAGCTGCTGATGTTGTTGCTGGCGTACTCTGTGCTATAGTTAGAAGGATTTCTCTGATCTCCTCCATTTCCACTGCGCACTAATGTCTTTCTGACACAACGTACGGGGTACAGAGTGCCGCTCACAACAAATACCCCAAATCTATGGCCCAAATCGCACCCGGGGTCCCAGTGACCTAGGGGCCTTTCTTCCTGGAGTTCAAAGTGGGTTACCCTTATCCTTGCTCCGCTACCAGGCGAGCTTTTTCCTTAATCCAGAAGGGCTGCAATCAGGTCATCTGTACACACTATGATGTCAATGATTTTCTATATCTAGGTAGTGGTTTACCTTGAAACTGCTTCACATAAACACGTACAACTGAGCTTAGACCCTTTAGGATGTTTCATGTGCTTGTGCGTGCGAGCGCGCGTGTGTGTGTGTGTGTCAAACCCTGTTCCTAAGGGCTTTTCACATCGGATTCATTTTTCAAGCAGGGGGCCAGCGGCCGACAAGCAAACGCTGGCTAACAAAGCTATGCTTGTTCGGTGGATGCACAGTCTGATCAACTGTGTGTACCTGCGCCAAAACTTTTGATCAAGCTGCTCCAATCCTCCTTTTTTGTTTCCATGGTGGTTCATGATACTTCCCACAAACCCTCTCCACTGCCGCTTTGCAGCCGCGCTGAGTGTCCGATCGTTTTCGAGTGCGTTTGAAAACAAGGTTAAACCATACTGTTCTCGCTGACCTTTCACCTTGCGGTTCTCCACCTTTCTTCCACCTGGGAACTGAACTAACTAACTGAAACCAATGTCAGAGTGTGAACCGCTCAGCCGTTTCTTCTTGGGCGCTGGGTGTGATCCCCGTCACTGGGGCGCTGAAGTCATGCTGGAAATCGTGTAGCAGACTTTTCGGATCCTTCATTCCTTGGATTTTCTTAACGGACTCCTTTTCACCACTGGATCAACTGCTTTAAGAGCCGCCGGGCTTATATGGATAAAACCCTTTGAGTTCAACAGCCGCCGGGCTTGTACGGAGAATGAACCCAGACGCGGTTTCTACCCCAAACACCCCAACCCCTCCCACCCACTAATTTGGGTAACAGAGGGAAATGGTACTCGACACACTTGTGCGTCGGTGCCTTTCCCTCTGTTGTCCCTTTTCTAGTCTTCTCTGCCCGGGCGGTCTAAGACTAAAGTCCCGCTCCCTAACTATTGCATGTAATTCACTTCCGCTAGTAATCAGTAATTCTAGAGTGCTAAGTATTCATACACACACACACACGGACACACACATGTACATACACCTCCCTGCCCCCCCCACTTTCCTTCTTGCGCTTTTGGTCGTTTCTTGGGCTTTCTCTCAGGCTTTTTAGGTTGCTCTTTAGGCTCGTTTCCCTACCCCAGTCAAGGGCTAAGTATTAACTTTTTTCTACTCCTACCTTTCTCTCTTGCCCTCTAAGCGCTGCTCTTTCTGTGTTTCTTTCTTTTGTTTGAAGGCTTTTGAGGTAACTATTCAGGTCCTTCGCACGGGCGCCGCAAAGCGGCATCGTTTGTGTGTCAAACCCTGTTCCTAAGGGCTTTTGCAAACGCTGGTTAACAAAGCTATGCTTGTTCGGTGGATGCACAGTCTGATCAACTGTGTGTACCTGCGCCACCACTTTTGATCAAGCTGTTCCAATCCTCCTTTTTTGTTTCCATGGTGGTTCATGATACTTCCCACAAACCCTCTCCACTCCCGCTTTGCAGCCGCGCTGAGTGTCCGATCGTTTTCGAGTGCATTTGAAAACAAGGTTAAACCATACTGTTCTCGCTGACCTTTCACCTTGCGGTTCTCCACCTTTCTTCCACCTGGGAACTGAACTAACTGAAAACCAATGTTAGAGTGTGTAACCTTTGGAGTCAAAAGGCTCCTGTTGGAATGTTTTTTAAAGCAGGGGGCCCTCGAAGCCTGCATGAAACGAGAGCCAACGAAGACTCTCACGCAGCGCTTGTGTAAACGTACCTGCTTGGTGCACCTGGGCGCATTGTAAGACGCAGCTGGTGGCCACCTTTCCTTTTTAATTCTGCAGATGTGCACGGACCGCCGTCACGCCGTCACCTTGTCGCGTTTCCGCAGTTCGAGTTTGTGGGCCTTGGAGGTTCCCTGGATGGTTCGTTAGTTCCGACTTACCCTGAACCTTAGGCGTTCACACCTAGGTGGGCGTGTGGCATGCGGCTTTCAGTTCCGTACGCGTTTCTATAAGTGTGTGCGTGTGTGCTTTGTGAGTGTGCGTGTGTGTGTGTGTGTGCGTGTGTGGGTGTGTAGGTGTGTCGTTGTCTCTCGAGCGTGTGAAGCATGCGAAGCGCGTGATGCAAGCGCCATGTTCTCTGCAGTATGTGGATACAAGCAATGTTTCCCGGACAAGAAAAACACTGGAATTAGAAGATGAGCAGACCACAAAAATAAGGAGACAAACAGAGCCAGCCGAAGAAGGCTGGGTTGACATAGCAAAATCTGTGATTCACAGTACATCCACCGGTTTAGATGTTCATGTTGTACTTCATTGTTGGGCAGTTTGGCTCAAAGTGCGTCAGCTTCTCATGTGTTTCCTTACAAGTTTCCTTACAATTCTATGATATTATCTTACTTCCTCTCAATTGCGCTGCCTCACAATTCACATATCCTTTTTATGCTGCTTCACAATCAGAGGCATCTGTTTTCCGTTTCTATGAGGCTCTGCTCGTTTCCGGATGAGCACATTCAACCAACAAACAGCAAGGTTGCCCGAGTTGGCTAGAAAAGAAACAGGGTGCTAAAGATTTGTCCAAAATACACAGGGTGCAAAATGTGCTCTGTCCAGGCATCGCATCTAGACCTCTTTGACAACCGGGTGCTCGAAGGTGGTGCCAATTCTAGGCCTCGCTGCGCAACATAGCAACTGCACAGGCGATTCTTTGGCACACGCACCCCTACTGGGCACCTAGAAGGATTGAAAGGCTGCGTCACCTTGTTACGGATTCAAGCATTATCAGGCAGTGACTCATCACGCAGTGAGCAAAACGTATAGCGCCACTGATGCCAGGCTTGAATGCGCCAAACAAATCTCTCTCTCACCAAGAAGGTTTCTTTAAGCTGCCACACACACACCACTCGCTCACAAAAACTGGTTCTGACAGATGCCATCAGCTGGGATCATTGAAGTCTTGTTGGCACCTTCTTCACAAATGATGCTCTTATTCTCCTTGGGCATCAAACCACCCCAGCCCTCCAGAACGGGAATCTCACACTGCCCAGTTCCTCAGCTGAGCAAACACATGGGAACACTACTGTATTTCAAGTGAACTTAAAGCAAGTCGTTTGAGCAAGAGTTTCCTCATGTCTGCTTCACCACAATATAACACAACTTCTACCTCCAAAAATCTAGCGGCTAGCGCATGTTTTAGCATCTGCCTTGTTAGCTTTGGCCATGGCAAATGTGGATAAGCAGGTTTTCTTGTGCCACTTTGCGTGTTTCCTTCGAAAGACTTTATGCTAATTGGCCGCCTTGGCTGGGGCTGTTTCTTATGACTCTTTTGTGTTTCTTGAATCTTCCTGTGCAAGTTGCCCGCATGCTTTTCTCCCAGAGTGGTTGAATCTTCCCAGACTCTATATATGACTAAGAGAACTTGAAGACCCGAAGCTTGAAACCGATCATGTGGATATATTGTATGGACCTTGATTTTCATTACTTTGACTCCGAATCGATCTGCGGCTCAGCGACTGCTGCATTCTGACTTTGCCCACCATAACAAGGCCAGAACTGCAATGGGTAAAAGTAACTCGCAGCAAGCAGCCAGCGGACACCTGACTGACAAAATTTGTCGAAGACTCTTTCTAGCGCTTTCTCTGTAGAAAGCCGAACAATTTGACCAACATGGAAGGAACTGCATGAACTTGAATCATAAGGTAAATCCTGGTAAATGAATATTTGGGACAGTCAAAAACTGGGTGGGAGCATTGATAGTGAATTCTCGTTCTGACTCAGCTAGCTGGGGCAGGTGTTCGCAGGATCTTAAACTTCAGCGGACACTTCTCGTATTCATACAAATGATCTCGTGGTTTGCCACACACACTTGCCCCTCTTCCAGCGCATGCTGCTCGCACTGTTTGTCTTGTGCCTTCGAAACATTGCAATATATTTGGGCTGACTGACTCAATCTACTTCCAAGCTTCTACAGCGCATCAGCTTGGATCTTTGGCATTTGCAAAAAAGATCGGATGCATGATACACAAACCTGAAAAATTGTATTGGCAAAACTTTAAGTCTCAGTCTCTGGAGTCTGAAGTGTAGCAGCTACAGTGTAGCATGACGAGTTTGTCATTTGGTGTTGGTGGCGTTAGTCAGTCTGTTTTTGATTTTTGCAGGTTGAATAACTTACACTTGCACGGAAGGTGTTGACACACTCGAGAAGGGATGGATCGCATAAGTGCGGACACCAAAGCTGCTCTGTTACTGTTCGATTGCTTTGGACAGTGGTTGGCAGCCAGTAGGGTCGCACTTCGCTCTATCTCCAGCTGGTTGCAAAGGGTGATTTCAATGCTAAGCATTGCCGTCAGACTTGAAGAAAATATGGAATGTTGTCACTGCTTCCAACCTGAAAACAGCGCTGCAACTGTTTTTTGCCTTTCCAGAAACCGGGTAGTATTCCCCACGGTCACCAGGGTCGGCTTGGAGGGGTTTAGTCGGTTTCATGTGCACTGTATCACTCTGATACTCAATCCTTGTGAACGCAGCAGTGTAACAGGTTGAACCTGTTTTACTTCTACCCTGTCTGTTGGGTTCGCGCCGTGGATTGTTTTTTCTCTCTTTCGTGTTTCACTGTGTCCTGGGTTGAACCTAAGCACGCTTCATTGTTTGTTTTGTGTTCAATAGATGTCGCATTCGTATAGCGATTGATATCTTGAGGGTAAAAAATCCATTAATGTTGCCTGCGTTTGCCAACTCAAGTTGTAACACGCTGATTGGTTGACATGTCCAATATGCGTACGAAAAACAGGAAGAAAGACATGAAGGCTCAGTTTGCACAAACCACATCGCAAAAATGAATGCACTAAACGAGTTAAGTGGTAGTCAGTGATGATGAAGAAAAAATGCAATGTAGCAGCAGCATTGAGCTGACGGAAATGCAGGAACACATGAAAGACTCAATGCCAAAGGAAGAGTTTAGAAACCTTGCCAACCAAAGGTGTCGACAAGATTCACAGAACCGTATGAAACTGGAAGGCATGAAACATACTTAAAGAAGAAACGCCGCAACATACTACGAACAAAAACACACGGACAAAGAAAGACGATGACCGTTTCAGAAGAAGACCTTGTCCCTGACTATGACTGTGCCTCAAACATGGTTGTCCTTCACCAGTGACCAGTAACCAATGTAAATACATATGGTATACGACTACAAAGCCTTAGGCAGTTTGCGAAGTATGGGGAGATCAACCACCACCTCACATTAGAGACTTTTGCAAATTTTATGAAGACCTTGTAAGAAAGCAGAGAAAGAACACTCACACACGACAACACACGATTGCATTACAACAATGGTTTGAATCTCGGTTAGATCTGCTTGTTCTTCAAACCACAAAGCTCAAGGGCGGTGTGAGCCAAGCCCGAGCGCGGACACACATTCACAACCTGCGCCCTTTGCATCTTCCAAAGCACGGGGTAGAACACTCGTCAAATCTACAGGTGTGACAGTGCGACGCATAGTTCATTGTACAAACTCCAGCCTTGTAGCTCCTTGCCCTGGATCACAAGCTGCAATCAAGCCAGGAGCATTGTCACGACACGCATACTTCGGCGTTGAAGATTTCCTACTACCCTCCACATGAAACTTATGGTCCTTGCCCTGGGCGTCACTGCTTGGGTAGCACTTAAAGTCAGCTTCATTTGCAGACGAAGCATCTGACAATGTGGCAACTGTCAACTTGCTCCAACAAACCCAGTCACCATCATTGCACCTGAAGTCGGTTCCTTGCAGCGCAGCAGCGCCAAATCAACCACACACTTGCAGTATTCAGGTTCTGCGCAGTTGAACCCTTGCGTCGCATGGGCCCCTGCAACTCATTCACTCGATAGCCATGGCCAAGGTCATTGGCTTAATGCCCTTGGAGGCATTGGCATGCTGGCTTTGTCAATATATAACAAGATTAGAGATCATTCCAAGCCCCAAACCTGCATGTGAGCCCCCTGGGCCACAGAATGACATGGGACATAGCAAAGATTCAAATCTCAGCTCATGACTGATTGGATGATGACACGAAATAGGATAAAATCTGATTTAAATCCAAAGGAAGGAAACTGCACTAGAAACCAAATGCAAGCTACAGGGAAGCCAAAAAATGACAGCCAGCTAAAAGGGCTTGAATTCAGATTTAACGGGTTTGTGATCTGAAATCCAGCTTGTCTTCACAAAACGATCATGACCAACCCACCTGACACGACAAAAACTGTAGAATGTGGCCAACAGCCGGGTCGTAAACAAGGATGTCACCTAGTTTGGAGTGCAAAATCTGTCTGCAGACCTCTCGGCTGTACATCGCAAGTTGCTTATTCTCAAAAATGGATTCTGTGAAGGAGCCAGGGGCAGCATTGGGCAGACCACTCCCTCTTCTTCAGCAAAAGGTTCCTGACTGAAGAGAAAGAAACGCACATGGAAAGCTATTTTGAGACCGACATTCAATTCTCTTTTTCAAACAATGTTCCCTCTGAGCTTCCTCTTGATGCAACTTCTACATTCAGCTGCTCTGGCTTGACAGTGCGAGAGCTGTGGGGCGAAAGCAAGAAACCAAATTGGTGCCAACATTGCTTTGTCCAAAGGCCAAACCTCCCCCGCGACTTTGCAGGTTGATCCCACACATATTTTGGCCAAGGGTCTTTCTCATAAGGGCAGAAAAATGCCGAGAAGTTGCAACGCGCTGTGGTTCCACACCTGTTTGGATCTCGAAAAAATGAGAACGTTTGGACAAAAAACTTGCAATTTCGTACAGAGTGCGTTGCCATCTTTGAGCTCGACAACGAACATATCAACCACGGAAATAATTCCGCGCGTTGGTGAGGAAACCGATTGCTGATTTACTTGCAAAAGGATCACGCGAAAAGAATGTGACCAATAGACACGTGCATTTGAAAAGGATCACACTTGGGATCACTTGGAAAGGTTGCGGTTAATTGACCATTATATACCTTTTGGTTTGGGCTGCAAAATGACCACAACGATGGCAAAGATTCAACATGTCACCTGTGTCTGTCGGGCGACGCAAATGTCTCTCAGCTTCTACCAAACACAGCGATCCTGCAAAACAATGATGCTCCGCAACAACTGACTGCGCAAACAATACGCAGGAGCGAAACAGATTCGCAGTGTGGAAGGGGACAGTGGTTCCGAATTTCTCTGTCAATTTGCTTGCCGGACAAATACGCCTTCACTCAACTTGAAGGTGTCCCACTGGAACACAAAGCGCATTTCACACAATTCCCGCAACTTCATTCAGTCCGCACCCACGGCCACTATGTTTTCAAGTATGTTTAGCCACCATCATGACATAAACCAGATTCGGAGCACAACCCCCTACCCGTCACAAAACACCATATCCACGGTTGTGACTTTTCTCAAATCCACCTATCACCGTGCTGCTCGAGATGAAATCAAGGCACTAACCTCCAACATTATGCCAAAACAAAAGAAAAAGGATTACAAAACCACAACGAAAGAACACCAGTGCAGTCTGTCTTCAACCACCCTGCAAAAACATGCGCCAGCGGAAGAAGCAACTCTGGCTAGAGGTGCAAAGCCAAATTAGCATCATTTGGCAACTCAGGAGGTAGATCATGGGCTGTCCGGTTCCAGGTTTGTCAATTCCAAGCTTAGAGGTTAGCTCCATTGTCCATGGTCCATTACAGTGAGACTACAGGACTGCAGATCCGTCACAGTACGTCCATTCCCTGGGGTGAAAAGGTAAACAGAAGGCAAGAAGTAGTGCAGGCACAGTGCAGGAATGTAAAAAGGAATGTTGCGAAGCTTTTCCACTCTCTAGCAAAGCGGTCTATGCGCGGTACACTTCTTGATTTGTGTGCGTGTGAGTGTCATCGTTTGATGAGCACCTGTGCTCTACCACATGTGGAGTGAGTACCTTTGTCTATGTTTCGCACTCCTCCTTTAGGCATGTGAGTGTGAAATCCATGCCTAATAGTTCAAATCACGCACGACATGAGCGGACTTGTGCATCATGTCACTCCTGACCTGTGGCCATGGAACCATGCAGTTGGCTTCCATTTTCAGAAGCTCCTCTCGAGCTTTTAAATCTGCTCGGTTGTAGGCCCGGTTATCATCAGCCGCCACGTCTTCATCACCCGGTGTGGGTTCAGGCTCAACTATGGGGACTTGTCCTGTTGGTACTTCAGGTTCAGCCGGTTCTACATATTCAGCTAGCAGTCCTCCATCCAAGACGATGATGGCTCTTGCTCCACTCAACCCCTGGTTCTCCAGGGTCAACATCCATGTTCACCACCATGGATCCTGGTACTTGACCTCCATGCGCTTATTGAAATGTTGTTCCACCTTTTCCTCAGTTTCAATCCATCATGCCATCGGTCCACCCTCTCGGTGTAGCGTGCGTCGGTTCACCCTCTCGGTGTAGTGTAGCGCAAGCTGTGCCACTCCAATACTTGCGCTGATGGGTCTTCAATGCGTCGATGCACTCGTTCCACATAGTCAGCTAATTCTCTCGATCTTGTTGTTCAACAGTTTCTCGATTGTCACGCGCACCCACCTCTAGCCGATTCTCCAGGAAGACCAGTTTCTTCTCTAATGCCTGCACCTTGTTCCATCAGATCCGATGGCAAACACCAAGAACCATCAGGACGATCAGCCAGTGGAAGGGGATCATGTAGCTCACCTCAACGTAGTTCTCCTCAAGCTTGGATCCCGGCCAGCTCAAGACCGCTCAACATGATGATTCTGAGGTACTTTGCCACTTTCATGATCTTGCCCTTCTCGATGTGGTTCTGCTCTCCTGGGTCTCTTGTTCACCTACACGACTCCCATCTCCATTCACGGCGTGGCACCAAAACAACAACAATCTTAATCTCGACATGGATAGTGCCTTTGTTCCAACGTCGGCCACATTGAGCACCGCGCTAATCTGCCTCACCTCCATGGCGCCACTTGCCAAAGCATCTTCCCACTTCCACGCCGATCTGCTTGGTGGCAGAGTTGGCAACGGTGGACACAATCACCTGTGAGGAACTCCAACACATGCTTGACGCAGATGCCATCACACGCACCAGAGACAAGTGCACGAAGCTTGCTCCCTGCCGATGAGAGGCCCACCACCTTCTGTCCACTCGAGCCGCTGTAGACGACGATCCCGTTCAGGCCGTGGATGGACGAAGATGTACCAATCAGCGTCAGTGAAGGTTTCAAGCAACCACACTTCATGGGCGTGCCCATGTAGTCCTCACCTCGAAAGGGAAGAGGTACCCCACTAGCTTTCTGATCTTCTGCATTGACAACTCAGTAGGGTTGGCCATCCTCCCTGCCAGCTCTTTCACCACGAAGCTATTGTCCAGGCGTTCTTGGGCCAAATAGATGCTCAATCCAACAATGGACTTGTAGACCGAAGCATCGGATCCTCTGCGTCCTGGATGTCTGAGGTCGCTGGCAATCTCTGTCTTTGGTGGCATACTTCTGGTTAGGCCTCACAAGCAAGCAACCCTTCTGGGGTATAGGTATACTTGCTCTTCAAGACGGAGAACTCATGGTTGTTCTCCTTCACGGCACTTGGCGTCCTGTGAACATTATATACATCATCCACATGGATCAGCAAACACACCAGGTCATTGCCCTCACCTTGCTTTCCCAGGCAGGGGTTCACCACGTTGAAGGAAAGCTTATCCACCAAAAAGGACCTCAGGAACTCATACCATGCCTTTGCACCGATTCGTTGTCCTGGATGTTCGTCCACTGGTAATGGCAATCTGGCTCCAAGGACTGGTCCTCCTTTATCACCTTCAATGCCGCTCTTGGTCACCACTGGATTCAGGAAGGGGCAGGAAACAATCGAAGTACGTGTTGGCCTGAGGCTGGGCTGTCACCTCATCGCATCGATCATTGGCGTATTCCCTTGCAACTAGGCGCGCCCCCCTCAACCAGCGCTTCCTTGTCTTTCCATCGGCTTGAATGTAACTGTAGGGCTTCACACCTCGTAGTGAACCTGTCCAAATGGGCATCCTCCAACTTCAATGGCTCCAGGACATCCATCCTCATGAGTCTCTTCTCCTCGACCTTGTTCGCCAGCGTGTCAATCTCTGGCGTCTCTGGAGTTGGATCTGGTGGAGTCTTCGTCACTGGGGCATCGGTCTTCTAGCGTTGTCCTCGATGGCCTCGATGACCTGCTGGTTGTCCAGCCCATTGAGATTCTCACACATCTCATAGAGCTGCCGCTTGCCGTCCACTCTCACGATGGTTGTTCTCTTCCAATCTATCGTGGACGGGGTCTCTCCCACAAACTGTGGCGTCTGGAGCTTCTTAGCCAAGTGCACTTGTTCTCCTCCCACCTGATATCTGGCCTTCTGCTGAAGGCTATCCATCAATCGAGCCTCCAACAACAGGCTCTTGAGGCTCTTCAACCACCGCTCGCGAGTGTCCCCCGGCAACAAGGCTTCGGTTCTGCAGCTGAAGTGGGATCCTCACAACATTGTCACCGTGACCAAAAGTCATAGCATGTTGGCTCCCATCAAAGCAACCAGCCTCAATTCCAGCCTGCTTCCATCAACTTCGCATATATAGGAGATGATCGGCTGGCTGATCTCGTCAGAAACATGGGCTTTGTCATAAATCTGAACCTCTTTGTCACCATCGGTATGAAAAATGAAGCAGACCTGCTTGCGCCCGCAAATTGCAATGGGCGCGCCTTGTGCGTCCTGCAGTCGAGGCTCCTTCTGAGAGCTTGGTGCCAATGGCCAGTCCAGGTAGGAAGCAGAATCGTACTGCTGCTTCACGACCATGATGTTATAGGCAGTCTGGTCGTCATTCTCATTGGGATCATTCTCTTCATAAATGGAGAAAACTGGACCATCCTGATCTGCTTGTTGTTGATTCTTGACATTGACATTGGCCGTAGGTAAAAAATGATCGGTTCATTCTCGAATTCAAAATGTGAAACTGCCTCAACTCGCTTCACCGTGCCAGATTTCCAACTGGTGCCCTGGCTGGTGGTAGTTGTGCTCGATGCAACTGTCCCAGTCTCAGCATTGGCCTTGGCATTGGTGTTCTCTTCGCTGACCATGCGGCCTGCCTTCCCACACGTCTGGCAGACCTTCTGATCAGTCTTGCCTTTTTGGCTTTTCTGTCCATCTCCTTTGCCAGCGCCCTTCTGCTGAGCCTTTCCTCCAAAATCTTGAGGCTTGCCGTAACCTTTGACCTTGGACTTCCCTTTTCCATCACCTTGTCCTCTGCCCTTTCGAGCTCCATGGAGACCACTCCATCGTTTCCTTCAGGGTCAGCTCCAAGCATCACAGTGTTTGTCCAACGCAATGTGGCATTGTCGCACTGGATGATGGCCTCCCTGAGCTTCTGGTAGTCCTGGGACTTAGCAACATTCAGCTGGAGCCATGTCTTGAGTTGGCCGCCAATGCACCTCATTGCAACTGCAAAGCGGGTGTTGTCCTCCAGTGGTGTCTTAGAGACGTAGAACTTGTCCCAGGATGCTGCCCTTCTTCATGTCAAAGGGTTTCCACTCAAGGATCATGGTCAAAAGACCCACGGCACTATTCTTCAAGGCGGGTTCTAGGCCCTGGACCAAAAGACGGTAGGCCTCCATGCCGTTGGATTCACTAACCTGCTTCACCGCAGCCAGGGGACGCTGCTTCGCTAAGGAGGGAGTAAAGGAACTTGCTGCGCTGCTTCTCCTCATCGGATTTAAGCTAGGATCGATGGGGCTGTCTGGTCGAGCGAGCTCTGATGTCTTTGAAGTCCTCGGTGAACATGCCATTCAAGGACAGGAGATCTTGCTCCAAGCTCCAACTAAAGCCCTGCCATTGCGCCAGCTCTTCTTCTCGGCTCTTTGCATCGAAGGATCGAGGCTTGGGGAGTACTTTGAACCATGACTCCTCCCGAATTCCTGCGGTTCAGGGCCTCCGCAGCCGATCTTGCAGCCAGTGATGCTGCCTCTGCTGCCTGGATCATGCGCATGGCGATCTCCTGACCATCAGCCATGCCTGCAGCAGCTGATGTGGGAGATGCTGCTCCCTCCAAACCAGCCATACACCTGACCTTCCAAGGCCAGGCTTCTCAGGCTCCGCTACCATGCAAAGCTTTTCCACTCTCGAGCAAAGCGGTCTATGTGCGGTACACTTCTTGACTTGTGTGTGTATGTGTGTGCGGGTGTCATCGTTTGATGAACACTGCTCTACCACATGTGGAGTGAGCACCTTTGTCTATGTTTGGCAGATCTGTAACATTTGCATAGCTGCAAAGCTTTTCTACCCAAACATAAAGCCAAACAAAGGGCTGACTCCATGATCCTGTCTCAACCCACAGACTCGTCCCTTCCAACCTGATGTGACACCATCTATAAGAGCAGATCTGCTTTCTCCAGTTGCCATGGCTACAGCGCACGCTGCTGCAGAAACGCTTCTCCACCTGAGGACCATGTTGCAATGAAGCCAAGTACAGTCGGACTCTTGACTACTGTAGAGAATCCGCCCGCACCGAAGCTGCCGAGGCGTTTTTTCAGGGCACGCGCTATACGTAAGCTAGCATATGCAAGCCAATAGCTTTAGCTAGGGGGGGGGCCATGTTCGCTTTAGAATCCTGTGCAAGAAATGTCATTTTCTTCCTTTGCATGATTTGAATCATCTGAGCGGTAAAGTGTAATTGGACTGAGGCCGGACATTTGGCTGAACAGGCTCCCCTCACGTGGCTCAACATAGCTTCCATATTGCCTAACATGCCCTAGAAGTCACTATCTAACGGACGTGTCTGCGAGATAGGGACTTGAACGCAAAACATGGCCCAACAAGGGCTCAAAAGGGACTGGAATAAAGTAAAGATTGCCTAACATAGCCCTAGAAGTCACTATCTAAAGGACGTGTCTGCGAGATAGGGACTTGAACGTCGTAAACATAGCCCAACGAGGGCTCAAAAGGGACTGGAATAAAGCCCCCCC